CCATCGAAAAAGTATGAAATTAAACGTAAATTACTCTCTATAAAATCGTTATTGCTCAGACAAACCATAATTTTCATAGCTTTGAATTTTGTTTGGTTACAGAGTTATCGAATAGAAAATCAAACCCCTACTGCCACATCCTCTCTTTCACAATTCATTGATAGTTCTCTCTTACGTTTCATTATATATTACCTATAAGCAAAGAAAGTCAAGGTTTTCATTTATTAAATGACATATTGTATAACATTATGCTCTGAACGGTTAAATGTGAAAAAAAAAAAAAACGTTTGAAATGCATTTAGAAGATTTCAGGAACTGCACAAAGGAAATTTGAGATTTTTGAGATGATGAAAAGTATTTTTAATCTTAACATGAAAATTACTTTGCACACGAACTATTCAAAACAAATACTCAATATATTCATGGACAAAACTTTATTTTATTAAAAATACTTCACTAAGAAATATGACTTTTTGTATGTGAAAGACTTGTAATATTAACTGAAAGACTGCCAAACTTTGTGAAGATGTACCAAATATATAGAGTTATAAGTATTCAACTTATATCAACTTTAAACAAGTACAAAAGGTCACGTGACTCAGTCAAATTGACCAACCCTGTGTTGAGAGAGTTAATGATCTAAAAACAAAGTGACATAAAACCTAAAATTTCTGAATTCTTATATTTATAATACTTTGGTCTCAAAGTCCTACTGCACCAACCCCACATATGATAATCATAATTAATGACTTGAAATTCATATAAATTTGGAATAAATACAAGATATGATTTTGGGAATATTTCATAAAACCCATTAACCTTTTATAACATCCAAATTGATGCTATTGCACAAGACTTAATTTTTTTGAAACCAGAAATTAAAAAAAAAGCTTCATTTTCAAATCCATTAATTTAAAAACAGATCTTAATGTTTTCATAATCAGAATGGGTTATTTCAAAGGGCTTCAGAAATATGGTTTTTCTAAAAACTAAGTTAATACACTCAAAATTAAGCCTCACCTAGTGACAAGTAGCAATTTTGTTAAAAATTTATATGTTTGATAACTAAAATACGTTTTACTAACTATGAAATGTTATTCTCTCTTAAAGCTAAGAGAATGCCTCAAATCTGGTGTGGTTTCAAACTAAGAAATTTAACAGCATATTAAAAATTATATGCATAAAATAGTCATTTTTATATATATATTCAATAATTAATATCAAATAATCAAATGATGTCTTGCTTACAAAACAACAACTTACTTCTAGATATTTAATAACTGAAGCCAAGGCTCCAGCAGACTGTTTATGGTCAACCTCATCTGAAAAAAAATAATAAAAAAATTAATATAAAAATAAAAACTACCATAAAAAGTATCAAAACTATTGTTTATTGTTAGTTTCATTACTAAAAATTACAAAGTGAAACTCAAATACAAGAATTCATCTTTTCTCTGTATGAAGTTTTTAGCAATTCTCCTGGATAATTACCATAGTACAGACAATTATTTGTTGATCTCTCTACTTTCTCCCCTGATTGACAGTTGGTGGAGTAAGATTCATTATATCTACTTCGCATCATAATGTGACATGATTAGTCATGTATCATATTATCTTTATAAGGATGATTGTAGTCTAGTCAGCTTCATCTATACGTATTCCCAAAAAATATGAGTCTGTAACCCATTGTGGGGAAGAACGAACAGAAATTATACAGTAAAGACGAGTATATATTTCAATTTCATTTGAAGACAAAGATGCTAAATTTAAACAAGAAAACTTATCCTCTCTATAATAACCTTACTTCTTTAGCTACAATCTATAGGTGTTTATAAGTGGGATCAGAGGATGCATGACTTAAACCATTAAAATAAGCATCAAGGTTCTAGGCACTAGGAGTAGTCTGTGAAGTTCCCTAAGCTCCAATGCTAGTCACAAAAAAATAAGTGAATGAACATTTGATATGTATGTCTCCCTGTCAGCATTTATCACAAACAATTTTTATTCTGAATACAAGATGTTTCAGCAAAAACATATTCTCTGGAGTGTGTCACCTGACATCAAGACACAGTAAAGTTTCCAACATAAAGAATTGTCAAGGGACAGGTAAAACTCAGGTTCAACCTGATCAGTCGATTCCAATTAACACGATAAGTTATGCAACAAGTTAGAAGTGGCAACCCATTATAGTATCAAGCTGTCTATATGTTTTACACTCCTTTTAGTTTAAAGACAAATTTGCTAAATCTTTCTTTTTTACTACAAGTAGAATATAGCATTGCTCAAGCAAGTTTTTAACTAACGTTCAAAAGGGGATAATTGGATTAAGTGAAAATTAAGTGCATTTGTGCCCGATTCTCTTAAAGGAATAACAATGTTTTTAATTATCACACTGAGTTATACTTGTTGGCGAGTCGGGTAGTAATTGTGGGTGGAGTTATCCTACATCTTCACTGCCTGTTAGCCAACTGATCTAACAGGCACCAATGACAGTTTTCTTGTAACAGAAACTTGAGAGTTTGTCATATTTAAAACAGTGTTGGGGAATGAAAGAGCAGATTTTCCATACAATTTACCTATATTTTCACCAGATTTTTTCTTAGATCTTACTTGGGAATCTATAATAGAGTAACATAGTTATATTCATTTTAGATTTAAGCATTGTTTCTGTAACTTTAACTTCTTCATGAAAACTCTTAAAGTTCTTGCTATTTTCTGCCAGTAACAGGTTTGTGTATTTTTGTGCAGTTTTACTTTCCAGAACTTTTAGTTCTCTTGTAGCTTTAAAGTTAACTTCCATTTTATTTGTGTGTGGGCTCTTTGGCTTTCTTCTGCATTTAGTTTAGAGTTTGTTTAAGTTTGTAGATTTGCTCCAAGGATAGTGGAGAATAGATTTTTTTATCTAAAGTAAGCTGTATTAAGTATTAAGCTATTTAGTAAAGTTAAGGTTCAATTTATGTTATATTTTAATTTATGGATAGTCTTGTAATACACTTTTATACATGTTAACTTATTAAAGGGGTAACAGCATGCACTAGTAAAGGCATATTATCTAATAAAATCTTTTTCACTCTTATAGTGACTTTTTTTTTTCTTTTACACATGTAATCCTTTGGGTGGTATTGTATAACAGTGCTTTGTTGTTTCTGTAACCTATAAAGACCTCAATTAAATATTGGTTCCTTGTATAAATCTGTATGTCCTGTTTCATTCTTTATGGACCAACTGCAACACTTATTGGAAAACATACCCATAAACCTCCTGATTTTGTAGGCCTGGATTTCTCTGCTTTGCCAGAAATCCTCGAGATACCCCATCACACTGATTACACTGATCAGAGTTGGTGCATGAAAAAAGCAGTTTTAAACTTCCCCCATGAAACTACTGTTACTAGAGTCAGTGATCCACTGAAACTGAAAGCAAGTGCAAATGACCCTTTAACCCTTCCATTACAGGCTGGATGGAATCTACCTAGCTCGTAACCACAAAAATATCCAGTAATTATACTATGATTTTTGATAATATGTGCACATCTTTGCAAAATTTTGCAGGTTATTGGTAAACATTACATAGTTTTGATACACAAAATATCAGGTTTTTAAATTAAGTATTAAGATTTTCCTGTAAACCTTTTACTTTCAGAATGGTGACTATCCAACATGCAAAGCAAATTTGATTTTAAGATTAAAGATGCTTTAATGCATTAGAACATTTTTAAAATTTCACATGCAAAATCTTTATAATCTCAAGATAATTATCAAATTTTTTTTTTAGAAAAAACTATATTTTGTTATTTTCACAACTGTATTTCTGTACGGGTTCGGTGGATTTGACCAATCTCGCAACCACCATAACAAATTAGAAAATATATACAAGTTATGCTTCTTTCACTCTAGAAGTAACAAATGTTTAGTCTAAATAGCTTGAATTTCATAACATTATACATTCATATATATTTATTATTTTAACCTTCCAGCCATGCCTCACTAACAATACAGAAGTTAGTATGAGGCGGCACACATGCGCTCGTGTTACCGTATCTAATAATATATAAGTAACCTTTAGTCTTTACAAGGTAACTTGTCTTGGCTGTGTTTTAGTAGACTACTATTTTGTAAAATACAGTCACATTTCAATTATTATATATGTATATAGATTATTGCTATTTTGAAATTAGTTATTAAACTTGTTTTTCTTAAAACATAGAACAGTAAATAAAGAAGTGAAGCAAAAAATAATTTCTTCTAGTTACAACCTTTGTACTCGGTTGCTGCTTGACGTAGGTTGCTAAGCCTTTAAAAAATATACACCTGGAGGATATGAAACATAATATTTTTTCTTAGGTTTTATATATACATTTGAATAATTAAAAAATCATAAATTACTACATTAATATCATAGAATTCCACTATAATTTATCAAGCTTAGTAACTAAGATGTATTTTAGTGTAAAAAATATGAAATATCGAGTAGACTAAAGACACACCCTACCTCGTTGAAATATTGGTTCAAAAGAAAGAGATGGTGCCAAGTCTGTTAAAATGGCTGAGAAAGCCACTAGG